ATAGCTACAGAATTCTCAACCTTAAATAGGGATAGCTACAGAATGCTCAACCTTAAATATGGATAGCTCCAAAATGCTCAACTTTAAATATGGATAGCTCCAAAATGCTCAGCTTTAAATATGGATAGCTACAGAATGCTCAACCTTAAATATGGATAGCTACAGAATGCTCAACCTTAAATATGGATAGCTACAGAATTCTCAACTTTAAGTCTAAATTTCCAAAAAGTATCCATTTCTTGTCTACAAATGTCTAAAAATATTCAAAACTGACTCATTGTGGAAATATTAATTATAATTAAATTTGTATATTTTTAACAACTTCTGAACAAATGTATACAAAATATAGAGATCAGAAGTAAAAAATAACATACTGGTGCCTATGTAATAACAAAACTAAAACTTATAATAGTTAGATGACATTTTGGGTATTGTCACCAACATGAATATTTTTTAGCCATAATCTCCTGGTAAGATTTTACTTACATCAGAAGCAAGTCTACCTAAAGGATCCAATCCAACCGAGTCTGACGACAGACCTACTGTTTCTGATGTTGATTTACACGGAGTATCAAATGAATTCAGAAGGCTGCTCAATGAAAAGTCTGAGCTCTGTTAGAGAGAAAGAAAACAAAACACAGAATGTTATAAATGACAGAACTCTTAATACTTTCAGAAACTAAAATTAAACAAAGTTTACAAGAAAATCTTGTGTTGGCTATTGTCTTGTAAAAGAAGAGTCTTGTTATGCTGAACTTTGCTATTTGCAGTTTATAAACTATTCAGACTCATATTGTACATACATCACAAAAAAAACTATATACGTATTAACAATTTGCATCAGTGTCACAAGTGAAACGAAACTTGTTACTGTATATTTACTTCTAAATAAGTAATGTAACCACGATTCCACTGAAGTGGAATTCATAAAAAAAACCAGCAATATTATAAATGTTTTCTTCTATAAAATTTTGAAAAATAAAGTTGCTAAATTAACAATTAAAGTTTTATTTATGGAAAAAATTTCTAAAAAGTTTTTTAGTTTTAAGAAAACACTACATTTCTCTAGGTTTTTCTAGCATCGTCAGGTGGATACGATTGAAAGAAACATTTACATGTTACAATATTAACAGCAATACTACATTGCTAGACTACAAATCAAACATGTTACGATATTAACAGCGATACTACATTGCTAGACTACAAATCATACATGTTACAATATTAACAGCGATACTACATTGCTAGACTACAAATCAAACATGTTACGATATTAACAGCGATACTACATTGCTAGACTACAAATCATACATGTTACAATATTAACAGCAATACTACATTGCTAGACTACAAATCATACATGTTACAATATTAACAGCAATACTACATTGCTAGACTAAATGCAGTGTAGTGTTTTGATGCAGTCAGACAGGTGTTCCTTCATGTAACAAGTGTTTTGATGCAGTCAGCCAGGTGTTCCTTCATGTAACAAGTGTTTT